GACGGCCTCCAACCTAAAAGCGATGGCATCCAACCTAGAAGCGATGGCATCCAACCTACAAGCGATGGCCTCCAACCTAGAATTAGAAGCGATAGCCTCCAACCTAGAAGCGATGGCATCCAACCTAATAGCGATGGCATCCAACCAAATAGATAGGGGAGAGCGGTCAGTCAATCAGAATGTTTTTTTTCTATTTCGTGTGGAGTTTGCTATCTTCATTTGCCGCAGTTGTTGAACCAATCATTTCAACACGACAACGAGTCTTTATGTTCTTTGTGAGACCCATTTCTTCTTCGGAACTTCTTCCTTTCTCGTTTGTTTCCTTTCTTATCGGTCTTTGTTCTTCCTTTTTTTCTTAGTTCTATTTCTGAACCTTCAATCGTAGCACTTTTTTTGCGAACCACAAGGAAATGAGCACTTTTTTGAGTTTCGTAGTTTGTATTTGTATTTTTTAATGACACGAGCACTCTTTAATGTTTTTGATGAAACGATTTTTTTTCAAGATGTTGAACACTGAAGTCTTATTGGGCTAAAGGTGGAAGCCCGCAAAATGTGGAAAACCCGCTCAAATTGCCGCAAAACGAGGCGCAAACCCCAACATGGGTTGGATATGAGAGGGATCCATGCGCGTTTTTTGAGTGTTTGTAGCGCTTTTTTGCTTGAACAAGCACTTTTGCAAAACGAGCTTGTTTTTTGGGTAGCGAAGGAAGCTTCAGGTTCCTTTTCGTTCTTCTTTTGCTTCCGATTCAGGGCCGCTTCATCGAGTTCTGCAAACAGACGGTGGACGAATGGAGCGAAAAGCTGCAGACGGTTGACTCTGTCTTGCAGGCGTGCGGTTGACTCTGTCTTGGGGGGCTTTGGGGCCAGTTTCGAAGAAAACGAAAGAAGACACCCAAGGACCCGAAGAAACCCACATACTCCAAAGTCACTCTTCGACACGCTTGTCCGACACCGTGGAACACTCTTGTTGGAAACTCTAGTGGGACACTCTTGCGGGACCCTGTTGGGACACTCTTATACTTTTGTGACGCTCTTGCTTGGCAGTCTTGTAGGTCACTCTTGTGGGAGACCTTTGGAGGATGCAGCATGTCGCAAGAGACTTCTTCCAAAAGTGACGTCAAGTCTTCAAGAACCCCAAACGTGAAGTGGGAAGTATCAGCACAACCTTGCCAGCGACATTTACCTGCGCCAAAGGTCGCAAAGTCAAATTCTCTCCCAGCGCCTTTTGCAATCCCACATTTCGTAGGTGCCTACTTAATCAAGGGAGAGCAAGCTACTAGGCTAAGTTAGCTTCTAGGTAGGACGCAGGATAGCTCGCGCTTCTTCAAGGAAGCTCCTCTCGTCTGAGGGCGGGGGGAGCCTTGAAGAAGCGCTCGCACTAGTGATTTGGTTTCTAGAAATTTAGGGAAACTTAAGCAAAAGGCAAAACCTATTCATCAAGGAAGGACGCTAAAGTGATTTCGCCGCACCTTGACATGAGCAACATTTGCACCGCGGCGCACTTACCTCACAACGCACTGCACCTCCTCAGCAAAATCATGCATAATTAGACCTGTTAGGTTTCTGTGCTATTCCCATGCATATGTCATGCGAACAATTCTGTACCCCAAGACCCCCAGATTTAAACGAGAACTCTTCGCTACGCATTCCGAAAGAACAAAAACACAAAGAGAAGGAAAGAGAAGAGGAAAGGGATCCCCTCAAACTTCAAGGAAAACTGCCTTCAGCTGCCTTTCTAGCCTTGTTTCTACTCTGCGCTTCCCAGGTCTGGCGGAAATTTCAGACCAACTGGTGCCGCTTGGAGTGCCTTGGAAAACGTTGATGCGCCATCGCATGCGCGAAGCTAAACAGATCATACGGTCACTCACACGCGTGTTTTGACAACCGGTCTGTTTCTGACAAAGCCTCGTGTCTTTGCCTTTAAGGGGGCGCCGGATCTTTTTGTTCGATGGCTTGAGCTTCGCTGGCCTGAATAAAGCGAAAGACATGAAGAAGCTTCAAAGACATACCAAAAAGGCGCTTAATTGTTACTAGTAGCGATGGCCTCCACCTAGTAGCTTCTAGTTACTAAGAAACTTCGCTTTGTTTTTGGTTTGGCCTGAAGAAAGCGAAAAGGGGGTTGGAGGAGGACTTGTCGGAGTTCGTCAACTCGCTCAGTGGGTGGGGAGAAAAGCTGTCCCGCCCATCGCGCACCCTCATTCCTACAAATACATGTCTTGGTTTTTCATCTCGTTACAATAAAACCTCTCTGTCGTGGGTCTCCTGAGCATGCACTTGTTCCTAGTAGCTTCTTGTTACTACTAGCTACGATAAAACCTCTCTCATGTCGTGGGTGTCGGGAAGGTGAGGTGGTGTCCTGTGTCGACCTTGGCCGATGCCATTGCACTCTGGCGGGCCCTGGCCTGGGGCTAGTACCTTCTAGCTAGTAGCGATGCACCTGTTACTAGTCGCGATGCCAGGAGTTCCTAGTAGCGTCCTTGCTCCTAGTAGTAAGGCCAGGAGCCCCTAGTAGCGTCCTTGCTCCTAGTAGCGATGCACCTGTTAATAGTAGCGATGCCCTTGTTACTAGTAGCTTCTAGTAGCTACTAGAGCCTCTCTGCTACGTAGGGTCTTTGTGAGGTTTGTTGTCGAAAAGCATGACCTGCAGAAAGTCGTCGGTCCACGTGATTGGGTGATTTCGAGCGTCTCTCATTGGTAACGCGCTCATCCCTGAACTTGTTTTGCTTCCCTCAACTTGTGCGTAGGAGCAGACCTGATGGAATCAGCTTCACACAGGGACCAAGACCAAAAGGAATGTGGTTGGGTGTTCAAAGTATGGAGACTTGAGAGAAAACTCTCTCTCTTCTATCAAAGTCCCAGCATCCTGCTCCAAGGAAGACGTGACGGATTGAATTCTTCGATTTGAAAGGTACAGTTTTCCCACACTTGTTGGGATTGAACATTCCAAACCTGAGATTGACTTGACCTGTCAATATTGACAAAAGGTTTTGAGTTTCAATCCAGACCAAACTTCAATCTTGGATGCCCAGAACATTTACAAAGCAGTGTGGGCTGTCTGAGTTCAACAGTCTGTTACTAGTCGCGATGCCCTTGTTACTAGTAGCGTCCTTGCTCCTAATAGTAAGGCCAGGAGCCCCTAGTAGCGTCCTTGCTCCTAGTAGCGATGCACCTGTTACTAGTCGCGATCATTTTCCACTCTGGTCGGTTCCCAGGCCAATCTTCATGCAGAGTGATGACATTCGCTCGCAGCTCCCAGAAGACTCCAAGAGGTTTGAGATGCTGGACAACAGCTGGAAGGACATGGTGAGCTGTTAGTGGTCGGAGCGGTAGTCCAGAGTGTGAGTGGACATGTCGTGTATGAATCGTTAAGCGCCGACAACTTGTTCACAGGAAGACGCAACCAAATGCACAAGTGTTTTCGACGATACCTATCAAAAAGAAAAAACATGATTCCTATCAATAAAAACAATTGTTGATTCCTATCAACAACATAATTTGTATCAAAAACATATTCACCCCTACTTGTTTGGTCCTGGTCTGATCCCTTGGTCGCTTGGTCCTTTGGTCTCGGTCCCTTCATCCTTAGGTCCTGAGACCTTTTGTGAGCGACCTGAGGGCAACATTTAGACGAGTAGTAGACCTTTTGTGCGCCATGCAAGGCCTGGAGATCCAGAAAGATGCAAAGAGAGTTGCAGAGGTCTTCAGATCCAGAGATATGAAGAGCTCTTTTCAAGAGGTCCTGAGATCCACCCAAATGTTGCGTCTGCCACGCAATCTGCAGTTCCAGTGCGCAAAGTGCCGCGCATGACACGAAATCTGCACTTCGAGGTTCAGTAAGTGCTGCGCCTGCTACGAAATCTGCAGTTCGAGTGCACAAAGTGCCGCGCATGCCATGAAATCTGCACTTCGAAGTTCAGGAAGTGCTGTGCCTGCTACGAAATCTGCAGTTCCAGTGCACAAAGTGCCGCGAATGCCATGAAATCTGCACTTCGAAGTTCAGGTTAAGTGCTGCGCCTGCTACGAAATCTGCAGTTCCAGTGCACAAAGTGCCGCGCATGCCATGAAATCTGCACTTCGAAGTTCAGGAAGCTGCGCCTGCTACGAAATCTGCAGTTCCAGTGCACAAGGTGCCGCGCGTGCCATGAAATCTGCACTTCGAAGCTCAGGAAGCGCTGCGCCTGCTACGAAATGCAGGCGTATGCAGGGCAGGTGCAGGTCCTCGTCCTCTTCCTTTTTTCCTGCCGCGTCCTCGTTCTCTTCCTCTTCGTCTTTGTCTTTCTCTTTTTCATTTTCTCCTTCTCTCTGTCTCCTTCTCTTCCTCCTACCGAATCTTTCTCTTCCTTGTCCACTTGCTCTTGCTCTTGCTCTTGCTCTCTCTCTCTCTCGCTCTCCTTTTTCCCTTTCACTTTCTCTCTTATCTTTCTCTGTCTCTTTCTCTTTTGTTTCCTCTTTCTCTTGCGCTTTTTCTTTCTCTTGCTCTTCCGCTTTCTCTTCCTCTTTCTCTTCCGCTGTCTCTTTCTCTTTTTCTTTCTCTTCCTTTTTCCCTTTCTCTTTCTCTGAAGAGGAAGAGAAGGCGAGCAAGCAGAATTACACAACGCTAAAATTGCAAGGCCACTCGGGCAGCGTATCTCGCCTGCCAAGGCCAAGCTAAAAGCATGCAATCTTGCGCTTCACAGCTATCGTTGCAAAGGCGATGCCGCCTGCGTGACCTGCTCATTTGAAAAAACACATCAGTTTTCTGAACTTTTTGCAATGGAAAGCGACGAAATTTTAGTTTTTTTCTTCCATTTGCCACATTGAAAGCTTAAGGTGCAGCTCAGCCTTTGTTTGGACACCCTGCGCAGGATCTTTTTTGTTTGCCGCCTTTGTGGTAGGCTATTTTGCCATCAGGTCCAAGCTTCAAGCATCCGCTATTGTGCTTGCGCTGGTCACTTCCACCGCAGAAACATCACCTGCTGAACCCTCCCTTCAAACTTGCGTTGCCAGGCATGGCTGTACTGTTGAGAGCTTTCTTGTCAGGTGTCTCCACAGGGTCGATCCTTGCTGGCTTTGAGTGAGCCTTCCCTCAGGCTTTGCTGCTGCTGCTGCTGCTGCTACAACGATCAGGCAAAGGTGTCCTCTCGCCACTTCTCCATAGTCCTCCTCAAGCACCTCTTGCGCCGGCGCAAGTTGTTCACCATTTGCTTGGCCTGAAGTGGGGTCAACTTCGGCACGCGTTCAAGAAAGCCTTTCTCATATCAGGCTTTGACAAGTTCTTCGGGAACGACAGCTTCAAAAAATTTGCGTGCTTCAAGCAGGCATTCTCTGGGTGAGCAGGAAAATGCTCGGGCCCACAATTGACCAAACAAATTTTCACGAAGGCTGCCACCACAGAGCCAGTCTCAGGCTTTGCCGCAGGCAATGCCATTGCAACTTCAGAATTTACTTCATTTCTAGACGTTTTCAACAAAAATTGCAATTCTAAAAGCTCTTCGAAGATCTTCTACAGATTATAAACGCTAATTTCGAAGAAGCGCCAAGAAGCGCTGGGTGGAGCTGGCAGCTACTACTGTCTAGAAGTGTTGACTTTTGCGATCAGCTTCTAGAAAGTTAGAATGCCGTTTAGAGCTGCCAGCTTCAAAACATAGCTTCTCCGGCCAGATTCTGCTTCTCGGGTGACTCCTCCATTTCTGAGTCCTGTATTCACAGATGGAGAAAGATCCGGGAAAGCAATGGAAGCGGCGATGACATACTTGGAACCCTGCAAGAGCATCAAGGAGCTTGCGGAGGCTTTTATCTCATTAGCGGCATTCGGGCCAGGATACGCGGGACAGAAAGGAAGAGGAAAGGAAAGTGAACGAAAAGAAAAAGGGCAAGCGTGCCTTTCAGCCTTGTACAGCCAGAAGACCTACGCAAGGTCTGAGAAACTTCCTTCAAGTACAACTTTGGCGGACACGAAATCCACTCTGACACTTTCAATCATGGTCCACTCTGACAGGATGCCTTCGACGTTGAAGCTGTGCTGGAAAAAGAAGTAAACAAGTATCTTTGAGAGTGTTCTCTTGGAAGTTGATGACCATGAATTGGCGAACATGTCCTTCCAGAGTGGTCGAGCAGTTGCAAAGGAAGAGGAAACTGATTTTCTTCGAGGTCTATGTATGTGGATCAAGAGGGACCAGGTCTCTCCATGCACATTGCCAAACCATCTACACGCGGTGGTTTCAACATGCGATTTCTCCAAAATCCACGTGCGTAAGGCCTGGTCCGTTGGTCCTGATCACGTGTTGCGTCGCCGATCATTTTGCGCAAGGAGGCGCACACCACACAAAGTGGACTTCTCCTCTTCCTAGTAGCGAGCATTGTTACTACTAGTAAGGCACTTGTTACTAGAAGCGATGCACTTGTTCCTAGTAGTGATGCACTTGTTACTACAACTTTTTTCTTTATGTGCTTCTTCTTCGTAGATCTTATGGTTCCACCAATTGTCCCAAAACCCGTTTTTGTTCTGTTCCTCAAGGAGCACCTCATCCTTGCTTTGTTCAGGTCCACAGGGTTCGACTCGATGACCGAACATCTTCATATTCGTCACGGCACAAACCCTCAGGTGCTCCCGTCCGGATGTGACAAAAAACCCGTCCGGCAAGGGGAGGGACGTGTCACCTCCTTCAGTTTCTTCGACAACTGTCTTCCAAAGGCTTGGAGTTTCTGTATAACGCCTCGATCTGCTCTTTGTATTGTTTGGTAAGGTAACCCAGCGTCTGTGCAATGGGGGCAAAAGGCGTAGTACCCGATGTGACTTGACGAACGTCTGATTGCCTCACGTCTTTCCGAAGACTTACAGCCAGCAACGTGTTCAGTTTCAGTTTCAGTGGATTTGCAATAAGGACCTTCTTCTGTAACTTTGATAGCCTGACCTTGAATTCCCTCGGCCGAGAGCGCTGCTTGCGCAAGACTGCTGTCAAGTCTGCGCCGTCCTTAAAAGATGGTGCCCCACTTGCTCTTGTCGGTGAGGAGGTAATATCTGCGTTTCAGCTGCTTCTGCAATCCAATGATCACCTCCTTGTTTCAACTCCAACTACCCATCCGTACATGATCAGTACGATGCTAATCAACAGCCGTGGCGACACCGAGCATTTTTGGAACGCCGCTACCAAGCTCCAAGTCGTTCAGCGCGCGAAGTCCGACAACTTGTTCACAAGGAAACGCTAGTGAACGCACAAGTGTTTTCCGCGGTCGTAGCCATGCTGAAGATTGCCTACTTCCCAATCTGAGATGGACAAGTCATGACGGAAGTGAGAATGTGAACTTAACATGAACGCATGCTGGATACATTCATAGCGGAACGTTGGCGCGTTGGATCCAGACTGCGTGCAGTTTGCCATTCAAGACTTCATGGGTATATCATGGGCTGTATTACTCATGGAAGTGTTTAATGTGTGAGGATTTGATGATGGAGGCGCCAAGAGAACAGCAACAAAGCCGAGAACAGACAAGCAACATGAAAACATGCAGGTTTAATGAAGCATTTCAATCAATGTGACGAAAGATGACGAAAGAAGTGCGTTGCTTCGAGGCTTCTAGGTCTTCTTTGATCGTCGAGATTTGCACAGCCGATGGACGGGCTCAGACGTTGTTGGGTCCCCAAGATGTGAGAAGCAAACGGCACAAGGACGCTACCGGGAGCGATCGGACGCTACTAGGGGCTCCTGGCATCGCTACTAGGAGCAAGACGGCGCACGAATTATCCGATTCGCAAACGTGTTTCAGGTGTTCAGGCGTCATTGCTCTCGACTTGTTAAACGTCGGTTCTTTCAAAGCAAACTGATGCCTCTACCCCAATGCCTGTGCTTTGTCGCGGGTTGCAATCACATTTTGAAGAGCACACCCAACTGACTAAGAATTGCAGTTGCTTGAAATTTGTTCTACAGTTTGTTTTGACAATTGTCGGGGAACTTCGATATTTCGCGGCCCCTATGTTCACACATTTGTCTACTAAACTTTGGCCCAATCCTGCCATTCGCCATGTTCGCCCCCTGGATTTTCTCACCCTTTTCACCATGTTCCACACCCATGTTGGAACACATGTTGGAAAAGATGTTGGCCGCATGGGCATTGCTCGTTTTAATGAGTTTGTTTGTTTGTTTGCGTGCTTTGCCCTGCCTGCTGCAGTGCTTGTGCAAAGAAAGAACTGATAGCAAAGTCTTGCCGCAAGAACTAGTGTGAAGGCTGCCACTCAGTTTGCAAAGCTGGACACGCTGAGGGAAGACATCACAGATGCTTTGGACACATGTGAGAGATCCTTGCCAAGCTCTCAGACGAATTTGCGATGCCTTTGTTACTAGCTTCTAGCTACTAGTAGCAAATGGCCTCCAACCTACTAGCGATGGCAAACAACCTAGTAGCTTCTTGTTACTGGCAGTAATGCCCTTGCTACTAGTAGCCGCTCATCGTTCAATTATGAGAAGATGGTGCACTTTGGCCAGGAATGATTACTTGGAGCAGAAGAAGAAAGCATTTCCTCGCTTCTACTTTGTTGCCAATGGTGCGTTGCTAGACATTCTTTCGAATGGCAACACGCCATTGAAGGCACCTTCGTTGGGTTGTCTTTGTAGGGTGGCACAAAGCTAACACAGGTTGAATCTCAGCCATATTGCAGTAACATGTGGTGTGTGGCCAGAAGCGATAGGATGGAGGCCATCGCTAGTAGTTACTTAATGAAGCTAGTGATTGGTTACTTAATTAAGCTACGAACGGAGCGATCGGACGCTACGTTCGGGGCTCCTGGCATCGCTACGAACGGAGCGATCGGACGCTACTAGGTAGTGATTGCTGCATATCACGCAACACAGCATGTAGCCGTGGCCGTGGCTCGGTCCCTCCAGGTTGCAGAGTACTTGGGCGATGTTTTCGATGGAATCCGTGTGGTCCTTGGAGATAGCGGACCTACTTCAATTCGATGTTAGATGATGGAAGCAGCTCTTCGGTCTTACGAAAGAGGGCTGAAGCTAAGTGTCCCAAAAAATCTAGGAACCAAATCATTAGCCTGAGCTATCCAGCGTGCAGCTACTAGAAGATTAAGTGGCTAGGCTAGGAGCGAGCTTCTCCCTTACTTAATTGGCGCCTACTTAATTAAGGGTGGAGCTTAAAAAGACTTGTGTGTGAGGCCTTTCTGCACCAGATTCGTTCACTTGTTTGAACCGTGATGTTTACACTCCCAAAGACAGGCACCTTGGACTTCTCCAAAGACCCGGTCATGGGTCGAGTGGCTTGCGGCCATTGTGCAAAGGATGGCGAGGCTCAATCTTTTCCCATTCTGGCGGAAGATGTCCTGTAGTATTAGTAGCGATGGCCTCCAACCTAGTAGCTTTTTGTTACCCAGACGCTTCGACATACTGAAAAGCTTCTTTTTACCAGAGGTGAAACGATTCCCAAGGAAGCTTTCTTCAGTTTGAGGATTCACTTCAGATGTCAGAAAATTGATAAGACGACTTAGAAAAAACATTTTTTGCCAAGACTTCTTCGACTCTTTTCGCTCAGTTTGTCCCGTGGCCAGCGGATCCTGGCTCTTTCGTCCTGGAGGCCATGAGATATGCATTTTCCGCATAATTAGCACAGTGAACGGGAGATCCTTGAAGAACCCAAATGTAGCTCTGTAAAGGTATTTTGAATTTGCCCCAGTGCCTCTTTGTGTTTCGGTTCCTTTCTTGCTGGTTTTGGTAGAGTCTCAACCAGAGTCTTGGAAGACTTCTTAGTTGTTTCCTTTAGTTTGAAGAGTTTTCTTAGTCTTTTAGATGTTTAGCTCAAGTAGAACGAGACTTGAGGAGTTTTCATGACTGACAAGAGCATCAAGAGCATCAAGAACCAAACCGCAGCCCAAAGCCACACACGCCACCAAAAGCCCCCTATCGTTTGCTGGTGCGTCTAGCCGTTTGTGTTTACTGTTTGTGGACGTTCCAAAGTGGAAATTGTTAGATGAAGACATTGAGCACAGGATGCATAGGAGGAACCATTATATATATATGTATATGTATATGTATACGACGCATGTACACATGCATACGTAGATAAAATTTCACGTATGATCAAACCCGATAAGGAGCAACATGAAGCAAACCATAAGCCTTTCAGCATTCAGTTGTGAATCAGCCACTAGGCCCACTAGGCCTTGAGGTCACGTTTTGGTACAACTATAAAGAAAATCCCCGTAAGCATTGCACCTTGCTGTGCACTGTGGAACTCGCAGCTCTGCGGACAGGGGCCTGTGGAGCAATACTTGGCGGGACTTGAAAGTCACATCCGCTTGGCATTGCGAGAGATCCTCGAACAGGCCGCTTGGCATTGTGTGGACTTCATTGCGTGGACGCAACACATGCAATGCATCCTGCGTTTGGAACCACGGGTAGGCCCCTTGTGCATCATGCGATACATGCTTTGGACCATTGCCCAATCAACACCTCCCCGTATCCCTTGCAATGGCTCTATATCTTATCACCTCAACAATCAATTTATCAATATTTACTTATCTAAGGACTCAGATTTGTCAACACTTCTCACTTCTCATCTCAGATGGCATTGCCCACTGTAGTGACTGTTTGAAACGATTAACGGCTTCGTTCCTAGGCCAGGACATCTGCGGAGAGCTGGGAATTGGGTGACAGGCTGAAAGAAACGAAAACGCAAAAGAGCGAAGGCGAAAGCTAGGAGCAAGGACGCTACTAGGGACTCCTGGCCTTACTATTGCAAA